AAGCTATAAGTGGTTTAGCACGTTCAAATGCACGCAGAGATTCAAATATGTGCTACATTACAACAGTATTAATAAATTCTCCAAGAAAGTAACCAACTCCTCATATGATTGCCATTACTCAAGCTGCCTTGGGTGTATACTAAGTGTAAGAAGGATGAAAATTTAGTTTTCTCGACTAATATTTAGCTCGAAGTCGTTGAAGAAATGTGCTCTAGAGTTGAGGGCGCCTATCAGGTGGCATGACAGGACAATTAGTAGGTTTTCACCAGAATAAAAAGAGGGTTTATCGCGGAATGCGTCATTTGGAATGCGCCTGGTTAACTAAACAGTATGCCAAGATCGAGCCGTCATCGCACTTTAATAAGACACACCTACGAAGCTCCTTGTCATGCAACTTTAAACAAAATATATTCAAAGTCATTTCACTAACTTTAGTTAAAACGCAATTTAAGGACATTTGGGCCTATAGCGAGAATAATTATTTAAGTTATCAGTTTGATATTTTAAAGGTGGAATGATACTTTCAAAGAATATTTCGTGAACTCACAATTCATTCCCTGTATCGGGCAAGGATTCTTGGTGGTTGGGAATGATGCGTCTGGGACAATTATGCTCAAAACATTTATCCAATTCATTTGATCCTGTGAAAGCCACAACATCTACCTGCAAAATGGGACTAGTGCTTTCATCAAATAACCTAATAGCTACGAAGAGGAAGTGGACTTTGAAGAACTCCTTTCTTATTGCATGCTTTGTACCTTCCATTTCGTCTGAAAAAGTGGGTGAGGTTGATTCTCAAATTGGCCTCACCGGACCTCTCGGTGTAAATCATCAAACACAACGGCTAAACCGCCCATCTGTTCGGACGAAATGAAGGGTAAAGCAATATACATGAAGTACCGTTTGGCTCTTCAATCTTCCGTTTTCCTATTTGCCAGATCCCCCAGTAATTCCTGCATACTCGTAGTGGAAACTGGCATGCTAGGACTCGGCCATTTGGTTAAGTAAAGAGATCATTTTCCACTGCACCTTTTTACCACCGCTTTATTTGTTAATTGAATGACACTCACCATCTTTATTTGCCCACTTTGAGCCAGTCAAACCGAGGCGGACGTGAGAGGAGGCGATGTTGTCGCGATTGATCTGCCTTTCAAACCGGTCGCGGCACATTCGGCCCGCTTGTGGAGCAATGGACGGGAAGAGAAAAGTAGAAGTGGAGAGCAAAGACAATTCAGTTTGGAAAGCGGTTCGACCCGACCGGACACGAAGAGAACGTGAAGCCGACTGCGCAATGCCTTGCGGGCTGTCTCGGCTGACGTCGTGTCGGTTCGCCGTTGGGCAACTTTACCACTTTCCAGGCCTGCGGATGCATGAACGACGCAGGATCTTCTCTGTCCCTATTGTGGGCCTTCTCAAGCATGTGTAGAATGTGCGTCTTGTGGGCTGTTTCTGGATTGCCTTGTCACCGGTCGATGATGCAGCCTCCATCAAGGCGCAGCATGCATTGAGGGGCTTGGCACAAAGTGAAACTGGTGAAAACGCATCTGCTGCTGGTTACGGCAAATGTTTGGTTAAATACAATTTCGCGTCAAAGTATGCGTTAAAGAGGTTTGATAGGCAAATTAAATCCGATGCCAGAGGAGAGATGTTATGCCTGATTAAAATCACTTGGAATTATTACTACTGCTAGCATGCTAGTACGTTCACATGAATACGCATTTGCACAAACATGCTTTCAGATTGGTGTGTGACAGGAGATAACAAAATTACTCTGCGTCCTACAGAAGTATATATATATATAACATTCTTAAAACTAATTTACGATAACTAATAGAGGAAACTCCTCTGTTTTTCCATAAGTCCTATATCTATAAATAT